ACAGGATTGAGAAAGAATCATTTGATACGGCCAACATATCTTTGCAACCTTCAAACTTTGGTGAAGTCATATTTAGTATTCACATTGAATCTGCGAGTCAAACTATCTTAGATATGCTTTACTGCAGAGTCAAGCACGGTTTGGAAAGTCACACCCGAGAGGCTGCCCAGGTCCACAGATCCAAGTGCGGTGAGATCGTACGTCTGCAATTTGTTGGTAGGAGGCAGCTGTGGGTCAAAGAGCAGAGGATCATCTTTGGGTCGTCCCCCAAACAGCCTTTGAAAGCTCTTCTCCATAGAACTTTTAGGATCAACCTTGGCTTCTATCTTAAAATTGCAGCGAAACGGCTCCTCGTCTTGCCTTTTCAACAAGATTGCCGTACGCATCGTTGATGGTACGCCAGTCTTGGTGGTACTATTCTCAATAAGTGACCACGATGCGCTATCCGCGTTCCCATAAGTCCTTCCTAAAAGATCAATCGAACCAACCACTTTTGTCGCATCGGTAGTTTCTCGGTTGACGCTGCGTTCCCAGCCCAATTCTGCCCCCAACTCTACACCAGCAAGCGGAGGTGCCCCCAAACTGACGCCCGCGATGGTTGTCTTCTCTTCCATCTGTGTCGTCTGAACCATGACCATACTATCGTAGGGTGCGATCTGAAACACTTCGGGCTCGGGGCCACCGGGTTGCTCAGGTGCAAACTGGAGGGTGATGTTTACCGCCAAAATGCGCCTTGCTGTCTTGCGGCTGTCGAACCTGAAGTTGAGAACAATAATTGTCGCAAACTCTTCGGCTTCGGGGCTCACGAGGCCGTGAATCACGTCCAGACAGGTGCAACGGATGTCCAGTGCCCCTTTACGCTCGGTAACATTGGTACGTTGGTAAGGCGCCGACGGATCGTTTCTGGTGCGAAATGAGCTGCCTTCGTCGCCGCCAGGATTCAGCATAATATCAAAAACGTCATCGTCGTCGTCGTCATTCTCGTACTCCTCTTCTGTTTGCACGAGGTCGTTGTTGGAAACTTCTGCCATAGTCGCGTCAAGATGCTTATGGAGACTAAGGCTGCCTTGGGAAGGAATACATATCGTTTCTCAGGCGCACCCATGAATTACAATAAAACTATACTTGGAAAGGAAGCTGTGCTGTGTGGGGGCCATTTCTTAGTCACGAGCACTACCACACCAATCATCCCCCATTTCAAGGATTGCCCCGCCGCTAAAGCGTAAACACAATTATGGCAGCCGCTTTGCCTGCTGCCTGCATCGGGCCAAGCTCTGCAGTGCGCCATCAAATGTGTGCATGCGCTGATTTTCCAGCTCATCTATCTGCTTTCCGGTAGGACAACAAAACTTCGTTCATACCAGACTGTATCCTGCCCGTCATGGAAAGCACACGCCTACAAGAATCTGATGATTTGGAGACAGCGAATGGACATGATACTGATAAGGCTGCCGAAAGTGAGACCGACAAGGAGGGGGACTCCAGTGAGTCGGGAAGTGAGGATGAAGAGGAGCACGAACAAGACATCAAAGTCCAATTCGAGCACATCATCGCCGGCTTCAGGGAGGGCAAGCTGCACATCAAAACCATCGCCAGCAACCAGGACGAATATAACTACCTTGACCAAAGGACAAACGACCATAATCCGAGGAATCTTCTGCACATGATTGTAGAGGCAGGAAAGGACAGCGCGAGTGCGCTGAAGCCGCTCGTGGAACATGTAATCAAGCAGCATTGTCACCTCATGAAAGAAACGGACAGTGCTGGTACCACACCGCTGCAGGCGGCCATCATAGGCGGCATCACTAAACTTGTGGAGTATATGTGCGATGCCTATAATGCCAAGGGGAATATTGATGTCGTTCTGGCGCTTGTGGACTCAAAGAATAACAACTGCCTTCACAAAGCCATGCTCAGCAAGCACAAATATGCGCGCAGAATCGCCCTCAAGCTCATCAAACGAGTACGCAATACCAAGACGCTGGAAGCCCAGAATAACGAATTCAAAACCCCGCTTCACATTGCCGTCGAGTGGGAGCGCTGCACAGAATCGCAAATGGACGTCGTGCGCGCACTAGTAAAGGCTTGCGACGCTGCTCTGAACGTTAATGTAGGCACCGACATCGAGCCGTGTCGGCTATCAGTGTATCGATACCACGAGAAGACGAGACAAGCAGCGAAGAAGGCTGAAGCTGGGGCTAAAGACACAAGAGAAGAGCGCAGCGGTAACAGATCGAGCGACAAGACAGTGCCCAGCAGCCGAAACGCAAAGGAAGGTTCTAAAAGTGTACCAGGAGGACAACAGGTGCCAAAAGCCCCAGATCAGGCCCGTCCAGTCCCAACGCATCAGCTCAATCGCTCCAAGGAACAGCCACAGAGCAGACACAAGGATTCAGCGGCGGAGCAGCAGGATCTTCCAATGAAAGGGATTCAGCGCCAGCCTTCACGGCTCGATACGACCGCTGCCATAATTGCCCATGTGGATGAATCTAAGCCAGGTGGGAAATTATCTGTGGCGATGTCGCCTGCCGTGTCCAAGGCACCAGCCTCGGGTACTAACAAGACATCGAAACATAAAGAAGTGGTCACAGAGACGACGGCAAATGCAATTCGAGACTTCTTGAAGCTGTATTACATGGGAACCCAAGAAGATCACGAAAGTATTGTTTCGTTTCTCTACGGGCCAGTTCAAGGTAAGTCGATCAACAGCAGAGAGCATTGAGTGAGACTAAAGGCGCGACAGAAAAGGAGTTGTACTGGTCCTTGGCCGATGGGCCTCCCAACATTTCATTGCAGAGGCTGCAGAAGATGAGTTACGTCAACTTCGAAGACACTCTCAAATACGTGTTGCTTCCCAACATCCGGATAGACAAACCTCCAGCTGCGGTTTCCAAATTTCTCTCAAGGTCTACTGCAAAGGATACAGGCAAAGGTCGAGATGACTACACGGTTATTTTTGAGTGGCTTCGTAACAAGGGCGTAAAGCGAATCTTCAATTTATACATCGACGATAGTGAACAGCCGTCCCACAGTGATGAGACCATTGAAAAAGCTCTCCAGGGAATTGAGGTGCTCAAGGTTTGGGATTGGCAGAGAACGGATCTCAGCTCCGAGGTCATAGCAAAAGCTGCCCCGAATGTCAGTCAAGTCAACCTCTACTGGGGTGGAAACAATGCTGTCCTGCGCAGCTGGAGTGAGTCAGAGGGCCTCAACCAACTGAAAAAGCTCGACACAGTCGTGCTGTATGCGACTCAGGTGCGCAAGTTCCGAGTCTAGAAAGGTTCAAACACTGACTAGGATACAGGGTTTGGAGACACGAGCGAGAGAGAAACGAAACTTGGATGCATTTTGCGCAAGACTGAAGTACAACAGAAGCCTGCTCATCGAAAGCATCGAAAGCAAGCAATCCAACGATTGCAAGAATCAAGAACAACTCCCACCAACAATCAAAGTCCAGCGAGATGCATCTCCTTTGAAGAAGACGGAACTCGGGGAGGGACTAACGGCCGCACAAGAGCAACAAAAGGATCAACATAAGTGGCTAACGTGCATGGATGAGTTCGCAACCTTCATTCAGAACGTCGATCTGGATACTTCGCGCTTGAATGGGGTTGAGCCGAGGCCAATCGTGGTAGCTCTCATCGACGATGGATTAGACATCAACGAACAATCTGTAGTCGACAAAGTGATTGGAGGCCGCAGCTTCCGCAACCAAAACAATCTTAACGCGCCATACTGGGCAACTAGTGGCTTTCATGGCACCGTCATGGCGAGCCTGATCTGTAGGGTTTGTCCCATGGTCCAGCTTTACGTTCTTCGGCTCGATGAGTATAGTGGCAAAGAGCAAGGGAAACGGCAAATTACGGCTAAGAGCGCCGAAAAGGTACGTTCAACGCCCGTGAGCATATTGCATTGCACCGATTGACTAACCCCGGTCAAAGGCCGTGCGCGCAGCTATCGACCGAGGTGTAGACATCATCTCTATGTCGTGGACAATCGAGAAGACGGTTGACAACGAAGCCGACATCAGGAAGCTCGAAATTTCTCTGGACGAAGCGGCTAAGAAGAACATCCTTCTCTTCTGCTCTGCCAACGACCAGGCTACCGACGCCAGTGGGAGCCATCCAGCCGCCAACCCAACACGCTTCAAGATCGGTGCCGCGACAGCATGGGGCACCGCCTGGCGCTGGACTCGGGCCTCTCATGTCGACTTCATCTTCCCTGGCGACCGGGTCATCAAAGACCGGCCTGGCAATGTGCCATTCGAGAAGTGCAGCCTAGTCAGCGGCTCGAGCGTCGCGACAGCATTGGCGGCAGGTTTGGCTTCTTTGGTACTATATTGCGTACAGTTCTCGGTCTATCATCGCAATGCGACGAACCAGCAAGGCAAGGGCGTTACGATGGAAGATTTCCAAGCTATGAAAACGCGTGATCGCATGGCAGAAGCGTTCCATGCAATCTATACCACCGCGGACAGCGATCATAAGTATATTGAGGTTTGGAATACTTTCGAAACAGCACCAAGAGAAGGGGAGGGTAAGGACAAGGATACTAAACGTGAGATTATCGTGACCGTGGCGAACAAACTGATTACTAGAAGGAAATTAGTTTTCAGGTCTTAAAAGCTACTCTATCTTTAGTCTTCAAAGATGTATTTATGTAAGAAAAATCCGGATCTTATTAAGATCACGAAGCACAAGAGATAGCTGAAACAGCAATAGTGCGAAGCGCTGCACTGCCTGCCTACTATATTGGCCAATGTAGCGACCATAGTGGCACAGCTGATGCACAACAAACGTATCACCATTCATACAACGATCACAATTTCGTATCGCAATAGGTTGAAATGGCAAACAACATAACCATAGGAGACGTCACGGACAACTTCTGAAAAGTTTATTCACTTAGTGTGTACCTTAAGTTCCTTTCTTACATCAGGGATTACCTCACCAACCGCCAGTCTTTCGACTTCTCATCGTGATGTCTTTGCTGACAAGCATTCATCGCAGGCAAATTACTTCCACCTTCCAGTTGTATTTTCCTGAAACGTATGGCATTCTAGAAGCGGGCTTCATCTCTCTTGCTTTCCGCGTCATAGGCCAGTCCCCGAATTTGTCATCGGGAGTTTTCACCCCATCCATCGTTTCTCCATTCATGATATCAAAGACGTAGGCGGGGGAGGCAACAAGAAAGTATGGCTTGGCTCGTCGAAGCACCATAGGCGTTGGACAGCCGAACAGTATCCATATCTCATCACCAGGTTTCACCAAGGCCTTTCCTTCCGTGATAGCAAGAGTGATGGTAGGCGTGATTTTAGGAGTAGCGATAGGAGATAAAGATGCCAAGCATCCTGAGGATAAAGTCTTATGCACCAGCTGAATGAAATGCCCGAAGTGCTCAGTTTGGTCTACGATCTTCTCAACTGCAGCGGATTCCTTTTCAAGGTCGAGCCAATGAAGACATGAGGGACGAAGAGGACGAAACTTTCGCAAAGCTAGTAGTGCGTATCTCAATTCCCTCTGTGGATCTTCGTATAAATTTGTTGCATACGGAAGCAGATCGACAATGCGAAGTCCGGGAGTGACGAAAGAGTAATCAAGCAAGACGCCCGTGTAGAGAACAGCTTCGCTTTCGCTAAAGTAGTCGCGGGCTATGCGGAGCTCAGCCATAGCTGGACCAGTGAGAGTGAATGCAAGCTTTTTGATATCGCCATAGTGGCATACGGGGGAGTTTACAACTGCAATGAATAGGTTTGACAATACCAAGAAGGGAATTGAGGCGTTCTCGGTAGTTGAAAGCGTTTGGTCAACCTTAGCATACTGAAATCCCCTGACGTGTAGAATATCATCATACCTTTTGTGCGGAAGAAAGGGCATATTGTATGTGGGCAAGTCTCCCGCGGCATGGAAAGAACTCAAGAAATATTCCGCCTTTCCCGGCGAATTCCAGTTCGGGGCCCACGAAGGTAAGCCTTTGATTTCAGCATCAGGACTGGTACAAGTTTTCGCCATGGCCAAAAATTGAAGGCCGTTACATTTCCATGGCAGTAGTCGAGTAGGGCGAAGGTAGGCTTTGGCAAGATCTTCTTCGTAACCCACTTCTTCACCAGCGTCTTGATAGTCGATGACTAGGTTTAGGACGGCTCTCACCCGGTCTCTTGGATCCGTTAACTTCAAGGCCTGTGACTGCCGCAACATACCGAATAAGTAAATCGGGCTCGTACTGAGGTGCGAGCCCCATTTTTTGGGATCAAGTTGCCATACCGTCTTTGGCATGGAAAGAGTAAGATTCGGTTCGAGAGTGAGTGGATCAACCGGCACCTTGCTATCCATCATCGCTCGCCAATAGGCTAGATTCCGCGAAGGAGCCTTGACGGTCGATTCCAACGGTCTGAAAAAGCTCCATGAATTATCGGTATCAAATGGTCCCCTACCAGTCAATTTTCGGGAGATCTGATGTTGAAATGCCATCAAGCAGTCCCCGGGGATAGCCACCCCTCGGCAGTAGAACACCAATTTCGGTGCGAAGACAAGTTCCTGTTGTATCCAGAGCCTGTCCCAGTACTCATTCTGAAGAAGCGGGAGAAGCGTTTTCCAGAACTCGGGATCATCGCCCAACTGATTGACGGGTCCCTGCACTTCAAGAGTGAAGAGCTTTTGAACAACGGCATCCTTAGGAGAAAGCTCTACATCAATCCAGACTCTCACAGTATCGGCTCCAGAGTAGATATATTTCATCAGATAAACCTGATTCCCGCGCTCCTTTTTGTCTCGTTGGTTGATGCACACAGCATCTGCCCAAAGATAGCGTATGCTGTCCTGCAGGCGCATGTGCCTCAAAGCGTTTTCGAGTGATTGAGTCACAGGGAAAATTTCATCGTCGAGGTAAATACTAGTCTTGGGTAATGATGGATCACCCCACATGTACGAAAGTGCATCGTACGCTGGGTTGTTTTCGATTGCCGCAACACGCAATCGGCATTGTAGAGGATCGGCGAATGACCCAGGGAGAAGTTCGAGGATTCGAATATCGCCAGTCGTTGCCATGTAAGAGTTCGCAGTTTTATCGGTGAGGAATAGAACATGGTCAGGTGCATCTTTTGGAGGGAGCGATCCATCGCTCCTGTATAAGCATCGCATACCTCTTCTCAAAGGTAGATACTTGTGGTTTCCAATGTAATGGTCCATCTTGAAGGATTCCTGATGATCCTGGCTTTCGATGTGTTTGTGGCTTCGACGTCGGACTGGGGAATGGATACTGGTGTGTGAGGTGGAGCATCATTATACAGAGGGGAAGCGCTGCACTGCCTGCATACTATATTGGCCAATGCAGCGACCATAGCGGCACAGCTGATGCACAGCAGTGGACATTGGACGAAAGGTTCCCAGTTGCTGTCGAGGTGCTGACCGGAATATGCACAGCCACCCACCAATAGCCGTTGAAGTACAACCGCTTGCGATTCGGCAGCAAGGTGCCAATAGCATCCTCTATCGATTGACATGAGCCGGTCAACTTCTGAGTGCAATTTCAATCTTGAAAAGTACGACTCATATTATGGAACCGATTTGCGCTAGCACACTCTCTATGTCGTGGTGGTGGTATCTCATTGCAAATTACACGTCATTGCTGCTTCCAACTCGCTGTCTCCATGCATAACAACCAAATCCAACCCATTTCTATAACTCAGCTCAAGTCAAGTAACAGCAGCACTCGTCGCAACAGGCGCATTTAACAAGCCTGCACTCGCCTCGTTCTCCAGACTGATCTTCATCTCCAGCCAAGAGTAAAAGTTCGGACTCTTGCAAAACGTCTCGTACAGCCCATCTCTGGCGCGATGGCGTTGAAGAGGCCCTGAGCCGCGGAACTTGACACTCGTACCGTGTTTGCTTACGCTGCTCATGAGATCTGGTACATGGAAGCTGGCATATCTGTTGTTGCCGCCTGGCGTCACTATGTTGGACGTTGCGAGGTATCGGTTGATGGGCGAAATGAACTGTGCAGTAAGGTCTGCGAAATGACGACGGATGATAGGACCGAGTTCGCGGGTTTGATCGCCGAGTTTGAGCAGAGCTTCGATCTGTGATACGACAGTCGGGTCTGATTTGAGGAAGCGTTTAGAGGGAGTGTGGACTTCGATACCGCCGCCGGGGAGGTCTAGAAGTGCGTTGCGACTTGATTTGTGGTGAAGCGAGTGATGGCGACGTGTTGGAACTGGGCCGTCAAAGTTCTGGAGATAGAGGATGTGTGGTCGGGCTTTGTGGCTGGCTTCTGCTGCTGCGACGATGCGTTTCAACAGAAAAGGGTTGGTGATGCCGATCACAAATGAGGTTGGGGTTCCGCCGTCGATGCCGATGCTTTTGAAGTTGGCTTGCATGGTCATGTAGGGTTTGACCACACCTGCGTACGGCACGGGGCAAATGAGATCGACCAGCGAAGAGACAGCTTCGCTTGCCAGTTGCGGTGACTTTGCGATAACGATGACACTTTCACAGAGTATGAGCTTCTCGAACAGTACGTAAAGGTCGGTGATGCAGGGCATATAGTGCATGATGTTGTCCCAGGAGCCAATAGGTTCATAGGCGTAGATGGACAAGGGTATATCTGAGATCAGCGGCGTGGGCCCTGGGAGTCCTTGCAGGGGGAAGGCACGATGTGGTGCAATGTCCAAAGTCAGTGTAGTGCCCATGAATGGGAGATGGTGACGTCCCAGAGCTGGAGGCTCCCATGTGTTCATCTGTGAGTGTGCAGATTCCAGAGTTGTCGGATCGCTGAGATGTCCCGACTCTGTCATCTTTTGCAAGATGCGATGATGGAAGGAAGTGAAGTTGTGGTGCGAGATCAAGACGAGAGTCCTTTGGTTGAAGCTTCTCTTCATGGTATCGTCGAACTCTTGGCGGAAGATACACGAGCCGTAAAAGGTGTCAGCGCTGCCATGAGGGGCATTTGGCGAACTTAGTTTGATGTCAGGCGAATTGTTGGTAATGGCGAAGTCGTAAGAGAGATCCTCGGCTGTCTCTGTGTTCTGTTGCTCAGGAAAGCTAGACGCGTCTTAGATTGGCACGAAACAGGACTGGCTGATTCAGGTACCTGTTGAAGCATATAGCACTCAAGTCGGCCGTCGTAAAGGGCACATCTGGTGGGTACAGTATCTCGATTTCTGGACTACCAAACTCAATACATTTCTCATAGATATGGCACTAGCAATTACCTACCCGATATCGACATTGAAGTTGCAGACGATACTGCTGCCGTAAGCACTTGCCACTCAGGGCAGAGACATGCAGGACTTACAAAGCCACAGCCCAGTGCTTGAAGCCGCCAGTCGCGATGGGCGAGACTTTGGGTTCCCTTAGTTTTTCCATGTCTTCCTCTCGCTGGGAGCGACGGTGAGGCTTCAAGAACTTATTCTTAAGCCTGTCCATGGACCAGCTTGTGGCACCTGACAGGTGCAGGTGAACTGCGAGTGAGGTGAGGCGGCGACGGGCAAGGGCGTTGGCCAGAGCGAGCGAGTGACTTATAAGACTAAGCGCCTAGCGGCAAGGGGAGCTGCCAATCTTCATGACAGCTGTGGTCGTGAGGAAGGGCAGATGGTAGTCGTCGAGACATGTTGGGATAGGCGTGGGGAGTTTGTTTTGGGACATGTCTCGTCTATCGGCGGGTTCTAGTGGGCAGGGATGGGGGCGCTTGTGTGTAGGTGTACGATGACGTGCGGGCCCGGCTCGCCTGCATGGTTCGCTCGGCTGCTGCTGGCTGTATCGTGAGCGAGCAAACACCATCATACGCGACCACCGACTGACCCCGCAGCAAAGCATAGAGCGCAAGATGCGACAAGCTGCCTGCTGCACCATGTAGAGTTGTCCCCCACCATGGACGTCAACATCACCAAAGCCCTCAATGACAAGCTCTACGACAAGCGCAAGAGCGGCGCGCTCGAGCTCGAGGGCCTCATCCGGGACGCTCTCGCCGCCCAGGACCACGACAGGATAGCCCGCATCGTGCACCAGCTCTGCCACGAGTACGCCTATGCGGTCCACCAGCCCCACGCCCGCAACGGCGGACTCATCGGACTCGCGGCTGCCTCGATAGCCCTGGGCCCAGAAGTCGCCCGCTATCTCGAGGAGATTGTGCCCCCCGTCCTGGCCTGCTTCGGCGACCAAGATGCGCGTGTCCGGTACTATGCATGCGAGAGCATGTACAACATCGCAAAGGTGGCCAAGGGCGAGATACTCGTCTACTTCAACCACGTCTTTGACGCGCTCTGCAAGGTGAGGACATGGCTACCGCACCAGCTCCCCTCGTGAGACCAGGCTAACACGGCCCGGACCGTCCAGATGGCTGCAGATTCCGAGCTCTCTGTCAAGAACGGGGCAGAACTATTGGATCGCCTGATCAAAGACATCGTCTCAGAGTCGGCCGCCAGCTACGTCTCTGTGCTACACGACACACCCGATCAGGACGACCCCGAAGACGAACCCCACCCCTTCGCCTTCAACCTCGAACGCTTCCTGCCCCTCCTCGAAGAGCGCATCAACGTCCTGAACCCCTTCACGCGTTCTTTCCTTGTGGCATGGATCACCCTGCTCGACTCCATACCCGACCTCGAGCTCATCGCCCACCTACCGCGCTTCCTCGGCGGCCTCTTCAAGTTTCTGAGCGACAGCAACCAAGATGTATACACCATGACCCAGCAGGCGCTAGACCGATTCCTTGCTGAGATCAAGAAGATTGCACGCATCAAGAAGGGTATAGCCGACAGCAAAGGAGGCAACGAGAAACTAGAACGCAGGCACTCTACGGGTAGCATCCATAGTGGAAGCGAAGCGACAGACAGCACGCCCCTCGAGCTCGACAACTCCATCGACGACAAGGGCGATGCAAGTGGAGAGAGTGCTTCTGTGTCCGGCGACAGTGGGAGGTCTGTCAACGGAGACGGAAACTGGATACCTGGCCAGGATGTCCACGTCGACCATCCCAAGATTCTTGAGATTCTGGTTGATTTTTTGGTTCCCCCACCAGACACGGAAGAAGAGCAGACCGAGATACTGCTGACAGCACTCCGCTGGATCGACAACTTCTTCGACATATGTCCAGAAGACATCATGCCGTTTGTCCCGAGTCTCTTGTCCCACGTCCTGCCACGGATGTCGCATGAGGTCGACACCGTTCGCAAGGCTGCAGTCAAGGTTAATGCTTCGTTGATGGACTATATCCTGTCATTGTCTGATGACAACCGCCCCCGCGACGGTGCTGCAGGTGGACAAATTCAGCTACCTCCTTCCCTATCTGAGCTAGGCAAAGAGCTCACTGGAACACAGCGGCGAGATTCTAATCTATCTGGCCGATTGCTCAAGGCAGTCATTCGAGATCAAGCCAACAAGGCTGAATCGCCCGATGGCAAGGGCACACGCTCCCCCACACCAGCAGAAGAAAGAGGCACATCGCCGCGTCCGATACCAGAGCTGGACTACCAAGCTGCTGTTAGTGCTCTAACCCTGCAGTTCCTAAATGAACACGAGGCCACTCGCGTTGCGGCCATAGCTTGGCTGATAATGCTGCACAGGATGGCACCTGGCAGAGTAAGTACAGGCTTTTCGGAAACAAAGTCATTACTGACACTCTGCAGATATTGACAGTGGACGACGGTACCTTTCCTGCTCTGCTCAAGACCCTTTCTGATCCTTCGGATGCTGTGGTCACGCGTGACCTACTGCTTTTGTCACAAATATCCCTGCACAGCGACGATACGTACTTTACTTCCTTCATGGTCAATCTTCTGAAGCTGTTCTGTACGGACCGCCGACTTCTTGAGACCCGCGGCAATCTCATCATCAGGCAGCTCTGCATAACACTGAGCGCAGAGCGCATATATCGCACCATGGCTGATTGTCTTGCGAAGGATGAGGATGTCGAATTTGCTAGCATCATGGTCCAGAATCTCAACAACAATCTGATCACTGCACCAGAGCTCGCCGATTTACGAAGACGACTCAGGAATCTAGACAATAAGGACGGACAATCTTTCTTCGTCATTTTGTTCAAAGCGTGGTGCAACAACGCTGTGGCCACCTTCTCACTGTGTCTTCTTGCCCAAGCTTATGAGCAAGCATACCATTTGCTTCAGGTTTTGTATGTTTGGTTCTTTGATTTCGTATGGAACAGTCTGCTAATCCTGCCAGTGCGGATCTTG